GCTAGCAGCTAGAAGTGAGAAATGTGTTTTCATTGGTTACCCAAAGCAGTCTTTTGGATATTTGTTCTACAGGCCTAGTGAGAACGTGGTCTTTGTAGCACGAAGAGGAGTCTTTCTTGAAAGAGAGCTCATATTCAAAGAGGACAGTGGGAGCACTATTGACCTTGAAGAAATTCAAGAGTCAGCCAATGAAGGAACCTTAGATGACACTAGCACTCAACCAGAGGAAACAGTTCCTGTTGAACCAATCGATAACTCATTACCTCTTAGAAGATCCACTAGGGTGAGTGTGCCACCTGAGTTGTATGGTTTTCATATTACTTCAGATGGTGACACATTCATAAGTGACAGAACACTGGTAAACTTAGATGAACCAGTCACTTATAAGGAAGCAATGGCAGGCCCAGAGGCTTCCAAGTGGAAAGAGGCAATGGACAGCGAGATTAAGTCCATGTATGACAACCAAGTTTGGAATTTGGTTGATAGTGCACCAGGTCGTAAGACAGTTGGGTGCAAATGGATCTTCAAGAAGAAGACAGACATGGATGGAAATGTGCACACATTCAAGGCTCGACTGGTTGCAAAAGGTTTCACTCAAACCCCAGGGGTTGACTATAGTGGCTAAGATTAAATCTATTAGGATATTGCTCGCCATAGCTGCCTTTCATGATTATGAAATCTGGCAGATGGATGTCAAAACTGCTTTCCTTAATGGGAAGTTGGCTGAAGATGTTTACATGAGTCAGCCAGAGGGTTTTGTTGATGCAAAGTTCCCCAATAGAGTGTGCAAGCTTGAGAAATCCATTTATGGATTGAAACAAGCATCTCGCAGTTGGAATCTTTGCTTCCATGAGAAAGTCAAAGAGTTTGGTTTCTCTAGAAGTGAAGATGAGTTCTGTGTGTATATCAAGGCTAGTGGGAGTATAGTAACTTTTCTGGTGTTGTATGTCGATGACATATTACTCATTGGTAACGACGTTCCAACCTTGAAAGAAGTTAAGTCTTGGCTTGGAAAGTGTTTTGCCATGAAAGACCTTGGAGAAGCTGCCTATATTCTTGGGATTAGAATATTGAGAGATAGAAAGAAGAGACTAATTGGACTTAGTCAGAGCACATACTTGGATAAGGTACTAAAGAGGTTTAGTATGGAAAATTCCAAGAAGGGAGAGCTACCTATCCAGAGCAATACCAAATTGAGTAAGACTCAATGCCCGAGTACAGATGTTGAAATAGATGACATGAGTCGTGTACCTTATGCTTCCGCTGTCGGATCGATCATGTACGCTATGACATGTACTCGCCCTGATGTGGCATTTGCTTTGAGCATGGTCAGTCGCTATCAGGGAAACCCAGGTAGAGCTCATTGGATAGCAGTTAAGAATATACTCAAGTATTTGCGAAGGACAAAGGACTGGGTCCTTGTGCTTGGTGGCAATGATACTTTGAGAGTAGATGGTTACAGTGATGCCAGCTTTCAGACGGATAGAGATAACTTCCGTTCTCAATCGGGCTGGGTATTTTTACTGAATGGAGGAGCAGTTACTTGGAAAAGTTCCAAGCAAGATACGGTGGCTGATTCTACTTGTGAATCAGAGTACATAGCAGCGAGTGAAGCGTCGAAAGAAGCAGCTTGGTTGAGGAACTTCATCGGAGATCTCGGAGTTGTTCCAACCATCCAGGAGCCTATGGAACTGTTCTGCGATAATGAAGGAGCGGTTGCCTTGACAAAGGAACCGAGAGATCATGGTAAAACCAGACATATCGACAGAAAGTACCATTTCATCAGACATAGAGTAGAAGAAGGCCATCTTATAGTAAAGAGGGTGTCATCTGAAGATAACCCAGCAGATCCCCTCACAAAGGGTCTGAGTAGGGCTAAGCATATTCAGCATGCTCGGAGCATAGGACTGAAAGATGATATTAGTTTTAGTAGTTAGATTAGTTTTATTCTGAAACTTGTAACAAAGTAAATGTAATTGACTTTTGGTGATTAAATAATAAAGTATTATTTATAAGTTTGGTTTCTGCCTTTGTCAATTGTTTATTATTGTGTTTCATTTTTGCATGTTTTACTTCCCAAATAATAAGATTATTCAAACTCCACAGTCCTCGTACTTTTGGAAGTAAGTAGTGAATTAAGACTGTCATGAACTGGATTGTAGATTGTCTAAGGATAGACATGGCAATAGAATTGCTGCAACGTTCATGAGTACTCAGAAATTGAGATTTGAGTATTGGATAAACCCTCGCTCAGAGTATCACTTCATGGAATTCATCACGAGTAATACTGAGACGATAATATCTTATAATCTTGAAACGAAGATATATGAGTTGCAATTTACAAGTCGGTCATGCATTGGTGATACGAAAACGCATCAGTAACTTGGTGTTATAAAACGTATTGTCATGTATAATTTGATGAGTAAAAGATACAAGCATATGAGTCAACGTTTATTCGTTCCTTTTGCCCTAACAGGAAAAGCGATATTTGTGGGCCCCTCGATGATTTGGTGTTGACTTATGTGCTGGGCCCAGCCAGGACTAAATTGATGTGTTCAATTAGAAGTCCTACATCATCACAAATCAGAAATCGGGAAACATAGATTCTGGACAAAGAGATTGATTACATTCCATGTCTTTTGTCTAGGGATATCTAGCAGAACGAAGGATTATATGATCACTTATCTTAGGACACGTAACTGACTGGGTCAGAGTTCGGCAGCAGCTTTTTGGAAGCTACAATTTGCTGGTCAAATTTAGAAGGCATACTAGCAATTATAGTTACAGACTTATCCAAGTGGGAGACTGTTGGATTAGGTGTCTAAGCCCATAACTATAATTGGTATGTACTTGAATTGATAGCAGCACAGTCCTTTTGGGTTGCCCTCAACCTAGCAACTGGACAAGGAAATTATGAAAGGAGAGATATTAATTTATAAGATTAATAAATTAATATAAATGATTTATTAATATGTTAAAAGATTAATATATTAATTAGAAATCATTATGTTTAATTAATAGTTAGCCAGAAATTAATCAGAATTAATTTTGGGGTTAAAAGAATTAATTATAAAGTGCAGGGACTAGTTTGCAATTAACTAATAGTTGAGTGGAAGGTCCAGAACCCCCTTGGAAGGAGGTGGACGAAATTCTTAGGGGAAACCCTAGAGATTTCGTCCAAGGGGTCCAAATAAGGCCTTGGATCTTGCTTAGGCCCTAAGCAAAGGATAACTAGGGTTTTCCCTAAACCCTAGATCCCTCAGCTATTTAAGGAGCCTCCTGGCTCACATTTGAGGTCACTGATTTCTTTGGAAGAAACCCTAAGGCCGAAATTGCATACTCTCTCCATCCTCTCTCCTCCAAGTTTCCTTCTTGCTAGTTCTTGGGTGTGATTCCATTAGAGGCATTACATTTGTGGTGCTAAGCTTCCAAGAAGATCAAGATCAAGATCAAGAGGATTATCAATTGTTTGCTATAACAATTGAAAGGTATGTAACTCCTAAACCCTAGTTTGTTAATTTCGAAATTAGCCTCTCTCCTCTAGGGTTCTTGTTTTGCAATTCAAAGTTATATGTTCAATAGTTAAAACATAGATCCAAAGTAGGTTGCATGTGAACTTAGGAATTGTTTTCTAGTTTATTTGTTTTACCTAAAACCCATCATATATATATATATATATATAATATATATATATATATATATGATATATATTATATAATATATATATAGATATATATATAGATATATAATATATATATAATATATATATATAGATATATATATATATATATCTCTTATTTTATATTGTAAATCAACTTATCGACCACAATCCAGTTTATTAGTCAACACACTAGCTTTTCATCCAAGTAAATCATTTTCTAATATATTAACTTTTAGGGGTTTCTTATAAAAACCTCCACCTCACTTAAAAAAAACCTCAAAGTGTCAAATCACTCATATTACACTCTTAATTACATTTTAATAAAAAAAAATTCAATTTCTTTTTATGAACTTTTTTTATAATTATTATATTTCTTTTATTTTAATTACCTTAATTATTTATATATTTTTATATTAAACATATTTTATTATTAGTTTTTTTATTTAGATTATTTTCTCATTAAATTATTTGTGTTTCTATTTTTTTTTGTTCTCTTTTTCTTTTAATCTTTTAAAGATTTTTTACTGCTATCTTTTTGTTTGGAACAAAATAAAAAGTTAATGATATAATAGAAAAGGTTAAAATAATAGAGATAATTTGATAATTATTAAAAATATAGACATAATTTCTTACATTGGTTGGATTTTCTTCAAACCTTTTAAATAAAAGCTATTTTTTCTTTTTGTATTTAATAATTTTGGAAATAAATTTTAACATTTTAATATATATATAGATCGATATATATATATATATATATATATATAGATATATATATATAAAAGAAGAGGAAAAGTAAAAAAAGTACATGGTGCTGAAAAGAAGATAGTAAAAACCCCATTTGGGTTTTTTTTAACACCACCCATTTTTTATTGGTAAAACTAAATATAAAATAATATCCAACAATATTCAACATCGATGTTATTTTAAAATTATTTATAGGATTTTATTGATAATATAAGTTATCTATCTTTTTTCAATATAAGAAGTTAGTATATAAAATATAAAAATGCATATAAAAGCCAAACGATGGAAATCATAAACTAAAAAAATACAAGGGGTGCATTGCAGCCATCATTTCTCTGGTGGGCCCGTGGCCCCATTATTTTTTTGTCACCAAATTCATTTCCACAAGACATACAAAGACTCAAGACCCATGTTTCCAATACATGGTAAAGGCGGCTGGCATATTTAGTAATATAATATTCGAGCAGTACTAAGTAGACAGTCTACTAAGTTGGAATTCAACGCTACCCAACAAATATTCAACCAATAAATTAATCAAACTGAGCTGCTCAATCACTCTATATAATAACAATCAAAGCAATTCCATCTTCAACATCCTAATTTCAATCATCATTTCCATTAAGAATCCAATCTGAAAATGGCTCTCGTTAGAAACAACAGTAGCAATGGTCGGGAGCCAATTCTTAGCCCTAGGAGTCTTACTAGTCCTCGGGGCTTAACCAGCCCCAGACCATTGACAGTCCAACCGACTCAAGAACCTGTTCGCCCTCTGGCCAACTTCCCACCTTCCATCTGGGCTGATCGTTTCATTTCATTCTCACTTGATAACAACGTAAGATTTCAATTCTAATACACTCTTTACTACTAATTGTATCATATAAAAGATACAATACATTTCCATCATTTTATTAATTGATTCACATATTTATTCATTATAGGTATAAGAATATCATTTTTTACGTTTAGAAAAACTAAGAACTATTGTATAAGTTTTCATGTATCATTCACTTCTTAGTACTTCACATAACTTATAAAAGATGTATTCATTTAAGCTAGCAATGTGTACAAGATCAAAAGTTTGACACTTGATTATTTCATACTGTAAATGAGTAGTTTTGTTATTTCAAAAATGGATTAGGAAGACTCAACCAAACAATAATGGGTGGTACAATTGTGCACGAAAACCGAAATTGAATCCAAACCGAATATAAATAAAAAAAATAAAAAAACTGGACCAACGTGAAAAAATTATTGTTTTGATTCTTTTTTTATAAAAATCAAATTTATGGGTTGGCATGGTTTTTTTGGTCTAAACCAACCTGAATTATAGCATAATACTACCTTTTCTATGACATATATAAATTTCTTACTTACAAATTATTTAGGGTAATGTGGTTTACTTTACACTCTAATTAGCTCCATTTTTATAACATATAAATTTCTTACTTACAAATTATTTATGGTAATGTGGTTTTAAGTATTATATATGTGAAATACAATAAGTATCTAATGCATGTTTTCATAGATTTTGACTTCAACAAGTTCATATATAGTATAGCTATTTTTATTGCTCTATAAAAAGTCAAAAACCGATATGGTTGGACCCAAAAACTGAAAACTCAATCCCAGAAAAACAAAAAACAAAAAAAAATGTTACTTTTTTTTCGTCTAGAAACTTAATCTTTTCAGTTCTGTTTTACACAATAACCAAACAAAACCCTATCATGCTCACCCCAAAAAAAATCAACATTGTTTTGATTCATCTGAAATGTATTATTGTGGCCACAGGAATTGGAAGCTTATGCAAACGCACTCGAGGGCCCCAAAGAAGCAGTGAGGAGTTTAATAATAGACACCACAATGGATGCAACCGCAAAACTAAAGTTAATCTACTCTGTGCATCGTCTTGGTTTATCGTATCTTTATCCAGAAGAGATCGATGCAGAACTTAATGAAATCTTCAAGAAAATTGACTTACAGTATTATGAACAAGTTGATTTGTACACTATTTCAGTACAATTTCAAGTATTCAGACACCATGGTTATAAACTATCTTCTGGTAAGTCAATTTTTTGCCTTCAAAGAAACTTGAAAGACATGTTAGACTCTGTTTAACTTAACTTTTTATGATGGAAAAAGTTGCAAAATGTTTATTATCTTAACTTTTAGAAAGTTCTTAGAAGTTCAATTTGCTATAACTTTATCGAGACAATATTTATTTTTAATTTTTTAATCATTGAATGTTTAAAATTCTAAATTTTTAAATTTGTATGCAAAATTATTAATAATTACTTTCGGTTTTCCTTTATTGGAATTGTAGTTTAAGTTTATTATTTATTTAATCCTCATCATAAGGAACCCAAAACCCATAATACATTGATTTTTATTTATGAAATTCAGTTTTTTTATTAGAGTTGGGTAACATGTAGTCTTAGTAGTGTTAAAGTTGACCAAACTTTTTTTTATATAGTCGTATAATCTATTTGATAAAATTGCTATGAGTCTAAAATCACATCATCATATGAGACAAAAAGCTATAATATCTTGTCTGGACACCCAAAAATGTGAAAAACATGCGATCGTGACTCGATCTAGTTTGTTTATGAAAAGACATAAAAACCTTCTTTACCTTCATTGAAAATAACTCCTAAAAAATTTGACAAATCTCAACCACTCTACTTTACTTTAGTCTAGCCTAGTCTAACAACTAGTTACATGACTTATGCAGACGTATTCAAAAAGTTCAAAGACAACAACACGGGTACATTCACGGATGATGTCACGAAAGACGTGAAGGGTATGTTGAGTTTATACGAATCAGCACACTTGAGGCTACATGGCGAAAATCTCTTAGATGAAGCTTTGGCATTCACTGAAGCTCAACTTAAAACAATCGTAAGCACACTTGAGGGAGATCTTGCACGACAAGTTAATCAAGTCTTAAAGAGACCCTTTCACACCGGGATGCCAATGGTAGAGGCACGACTATATTTTAACACACATGAAGAAGATTTTTCAAGCCATGAGTCGGTTGTAAAGCTAGCTAAAGTCCACTTTAACTATTTGCAACTACAACAAAAAGAAGAACTCCGTATGGTTTCACAGTAAGTTCTCATTTAGAACTATAAGTTTGGCAAATTACTTTGTTTCAAAGTTGATGAATATGTTTGTTTTGTGTTTTAGGTGGTGGAAAGATATGGAGTTTCAGACATCTGTCCCTTACATAAGAGATAGAGTACCGGAGATATACTTGTGGATTTTGGGGTTATATTTTGAGCCTTACTACTCTCGGGCGCGTATCATAGCCACAAAAATCACATTGTTCTTGGTGGTTTTAGATGACACATATGATGCATATGCTACAATTGACGAGATCCGATCGATCACGGATGCGATTAATAGGTATTTTATATGCAATAAAACCTCAAGTTTTATCTTCAATCCATCAAGCAAAATCATTTTGCCCCAATGCCATAGCACAATTGGTTGCTTTTAGAAGCCACAATGTGAATTTCAATCCCGATGTGGATTGGGCTTCTTTTTGAGCACATGACTCTTATGTCAGTTATATAATAGACTGTTGTATACCTGATTTACATCTTGCATGATGTTTATAGGACAGTCTTGTGTATGCTAGTTGAGTGGGTGTTGAATCCTTTTTAATTACATATGAATTCATTTTAACATAATTTTGTCATGTAGGTGGGAAATTAGTGCTATTGATCAGCTTCCCGAATATATCAAACTGTTCTACAGAATTCTCCTCAATGAGTACGATGATCTCGAGAAAGAATACTCTAAGGACGGAAGAGCATTCAGTGTCCACGCTTCAAAACAAGCAGTATGATTCCATGATTTCTTTCATCTTTAGTAATTGAACATAAATGTAACATTTATAAACGATACTAATATTCGTTAATTTTTTGTTATGAAACCAGTTTCAAGAAATTGCAAGAGGGTATCTTGAAGAGGCGGAGTGGCTACACAATGGCTATGTGGCGACATTTCCCGAGTATATGAAGAATGGTTTGATTACTTCGGCTTACAATGTTATTTCAAAATCCGCATTGGTGGGAATGGGTGCAATTGCAGATGAAGAGGCTCTTGCTTGGTATGAAACACATCCGAAAATTTTGAAAGCTTCCGAGTTGATTTCAAGGCTCCAAGACGATGTGATGACTTTTCAGGTACAAACCAAGAGCTCAATATCTTTTTATTCCTCATATCTAAATATATTATGTTCTAAAAATTAAATTTGGGGAAATTTGTGAAAAAAAATAGGACTTGATGGAGAAAGTCTCAAGTATCTCTATTAAATCTTTCTTTTGAAATCAAGCAACAACAAACACTCGTATATACAATTTCACCATTGTCATGTCTTTCTGTATTAAGTCGTTCTTACCTAAATCGAGTAAAAGCGAAAGACACATATATAACTTACTAGATTAAGTCATGTCCCTATTAAGTCCATTATGTAAAAAAAGAAACAGTTTCACGATCATAACTTCATGTCTTCTAACGTTGCAAATTGTAAATGTAGTTTGAGAGGAAACGAGGACAATCGGCTACGGGTGTTGATGCTTATATAAAGGAATACAATGTATCCGAAGAAGTGGCAATTCTAGAGCTCATGAAGATGATTGAAAACGCATGGAAAGATATAAACGAAGGATGTCTAAAGCCTACAGAGGTCTCGGTGGCTCTACTAACTCCTATTTTGAATCTTGCAAGAATGATAGATGTGGTATACAAATTCGATGATGGGTTCACCTTTCCCGGGAAAACCCTAAAAGACTATATTACCCTTTTGTTCGTTACTCCTCCTCCTAGTATCGAAAACTGCTAGGTTGTAATACAATCATAATATTTTCTCGGAAATTTTCTTATAATTTGTCGCGTATGTTTGCGCTCGATTTGTGAGATTCTTTTTAACATTCTATTGTAATATTCTTGTCAAATAAAAATTTCTTGTTATGGTCTCTTTTGGGATGTTTTATGGTGTATTTGATTGATGTAATTAGGATTGTAATGCTCTGTTTCTTTTTTCTTTTCCCCTATTAAGGATTGTCAGGATAAACTATTGACATGAGGCCAAAATTGTAATTTTTTTTGACAAAACGAAGGCACATTTCATGAATTGGAAGTTTTAAAGACACGAGGGAAAAATTGTTAAAATTACTAAATTAGAACTTAACATGGAAAACCTCTTTTCCTGACTTTCTTTATTAGGTAATTCTTTCTACATTCAACTGTAAACAAGTGAGGAAATTGAAGGAAATAGCAACATGCTTTCCTTATTTTACAAATATAAGAAATATACTTTAATTTGTACACATAATATCAATGTACTTACATTCTTTTACTAATAATAGCCACATAAAAACAACATATAACCTGAAACTTGTAAATTGTACTTTATTTATTTTACCTAACATCAACTTACTTGCATATCTTTACACAAAATAATAACATGCTTAAAAATTCCTTACTCATAATAGCAAGATACTTATATCTCTTTAACAATAATAGCAATATGTAACATGAAACTTATAAACATCATACAAGTTTCAAGTTATATGTTGTTATTAATAGTAAGAATGTAAATAAGTTTCTATTATGAGTAAAACATATAGAAACACACTTTATGGGTCATCTTTCAATTTCCATATTTGATTTCATTATAATCTATAAATTCAATACATAATCATAAATCATGAATGCCAGAATATTTCTATAGTGTACCTATATTACATTCATGAAAACCTATAACTTTTTAACCTTAAGAAAAGCATAAGTTCATTGTTGAACAGATACCTCTGGCGAAGGTGAAAGCTGAATTGAAGGCAATAACTCGGCTTTCAAGATTTGTTTCATAATGGATAATCCAGCAGGAGATACTTCACCTTGTGGTCCATCTACTGATGGTTTTATTACATTTATAAACAGTATGTTATAAAATATGGAGAAGATAAGAAGCCCAAAAGCTGCATATGGTAGAAACGATCCTGTGTCTTGAAGATCTTTTGTTGCTTCAACTGTTGTACCATATGGACTCGGATTCGAAGCTGTAATAATTTTGAATAGATTAAGAACTCAATCAGAATGCAATTTAACCTTCAATGTTGACATTCTATAATTAGTAGCCTTGTGGGTTCGCATAATTTCATATAATTCTTCCATATTTGCCTGATACATAATAATTCTTCCATAGAAAACTATAATTTTCCAATTAATATGAAAAGCACCATTCGCCCATGGCGATGATTATCTACAAGCAAGAGAATGAGATAAAGGGAAGATAAACAATTGATTAATTACCTTTGATTTTAGGAACAGGGTTTGTTTGTTTCTGAGAGATAAGATCAAGCTGTAGGTCAAGGTTTCGGAGGGCTTCTCGGGCCTTATCTGGGTCGAATTCGAACTCTGAATCGCTCTCCACAGCTCGATTTGGAAGCAAATTACTGCCCCTTTTCTTCCATTCGCAAAAGCTATTGAATCCGAATCCAGATACGCAAAATGGGTGAAGCTTTAAGAGCGAATTATCAGGATTATGAGATGGAAACGTATGAAAATTACGCATCATGGAAAAGCTGTTAGAAGTGTTGATTGAAAAAGGACGGCAATTTGTTCAGTGAAGGCGATAGAAAGTGGATAGAGTTGTGTTGCCGATGGCGGGACGTTCAAAGACCGATATAAAAATCAGTGGCCCAAAAGTACATGCCTTTATACACTCATACAATGTTGCAAAATTCGTGATTGAGGTATTTTCAATTAGACAAAACTGCAAAAATAGTTCGTGTCGTGTATATATATTTTTTTGAGGTGAAGTCTAAATCTAGATATTTTTTTGTTTTATGTTCCTTTTAACTTAGTTTCGTTGCGGATTTTGTCATTTAGTAACTGAAATGACTTTAATGTCCTTCAGGTATTTATTTTTTCTTTTTCTCTTATTTTTTAAAATCTAATAATTAATTATTTATTTTTAATAATAAAAAAATAAGAGGTCTCTCTCTCTCTCTCTCTCTCTCTCTCTCTTATATATATATATATATATATATATATATATATATATATATATATCTCTCTCGTCTTTTCCTAACCCTCTCGTGCCTTTTCTCTCGTCGTGTGTCAGCCACGGGCCACATTCCTCCATCTTCTTCCTTCACGATCTACCCAAGTCTTTCGTTCCTTCTTCTTCTTTTTCACCCTCGCCATCACCTACTCTTTACTCACCCCTTTTCTCCTTCACTCGCCTGAGAAGCTCACTGTCTAGTCTCTAATTGATGTACTTTCCAATGAGTTGTTGGAGCAAATCCATGTATACTACTGAATCTGAGAAGCTTACCGCCTCACCCCTTAATCATGATGCAACCATAGACGTCCAATGGTTCAATTTCGGGATGGAGAGCTTTGATTTATTGATTCGATGTTGAAGGTCAAGGGTTCAATTTGGTGATTTAAGTTCATTGGGTTTGATTTCATAGAATTAAGGGGTCTTGGTATTGATTTAGTTGTGGTTTTGTAATGGTTTTGAACATGGATGAAGGTTTCATCTTCATTAGTTTTTGAACAGAGATGAAGTTCCATAGTCACACTAGAATCCATGTGTGTGTATGTATGTGTCAACGGACTTGTCCAGTTTCCAGAGTTCAGAAAAGGATAATTCTGTCTTTTCTTTATTAATTTCTTTGATTTATTATATTTCGAAGGTTTCCTGATTAGAGACTGATGAGCTGAAGTTGTAGCTTGAGCTTGCCATGGATGTGTCTTTTATTTTTCCTCCTGTATTGATACTCCCAAATTGTTTAAGAAACAGAGGTCGGTTAGAAATCAGAGTTTTTTTTGTTGTTTTCTAAAGATACCAACCCATCTAAAACCCCAAAATATATAGACCTAAGGGCTAAGGAAAAGAGTTCAGTTTATTTCAAGTTGTGAAGAGTACGGGTGTGATTATAGGAATATACGCAAGTTAGGAGGACGAACATGTTAATGGGAAGTGTTTGTGTGTTTGTTCAATCTTTATGAAGGGATAATAATGGAAAAATGAAGGGGGTTAGATGAAGAATGAGCAGCTCAATTGCAGATTTTAGTGTGTGTATGTGTGTTTTTGTTATGCTTGGTTGGGTGAGAACGATCATCAAAGCAGAGAGGGGGGGGGGGATCTTATTTTTAAATTGTTTAAGTATATAAATAACTATTAGATTTTAAAAAATAAAAGAAAAAGAGAAAATAAATACATGGAGGATATCAAAGTCATTTTAGTGTAGTAGAGGCTATCAAAGTCATAAAATATCACTAAATGGTTGGTTTATACATATATGTTTTTCATCATTATGTTGTTTAAATTTATGTTGATGTTGTTTAAGTATATAAATAACTATTAGATTTTTAAATTGTTTAAGTATATAAATAACTATTAGATTTTAAAAAATAAAAGAAAAAGAGAAAATAAATACATGGAGGATATCAAAGTCATTTTAGTGTAGTGGAGGATATCAAAGTCATAAAATATCACTAAATGATTGGTTTATGCACATATATTTTGCATCATTATGTTGTTTAAATTTATGTTGATGTTGTGTTATTATCGATAAATTATATTTCACATGTATAAAATATTTTGAACATAAATAACATCAAAAGGAGTTGGTTTTAATGAAATTTATCATTTAATATAAGAATTTAATATAAGATGATAAAAAGTTTTTAAAAATTAAACAAACTTTATTGTTTAAAACTAGCTAACGCTAGCTAACGACAAATTTCATTGATCATAATTATGTAAGTTTAAAATTGAGATTTTAGAAACTTATCAAACTCCAATCCTTATTTTCTAAAAAGAAGTTTTATTAAAAGGTTTATAAATGTTCTTTAGCGCTCAACGTCCAAACTTAATACTAGTTATTAAATTAAAATTTGGTCACGTTGATAATATAAAATTTGGATTTCTATAAATGAACATTGTTAAAATGTGATTTTAAATAAACCTAATTTATTGGATGCATGAAATAACCATGATATAATATGTTTTTAAACAAGAATTATAAAAACATTAAAGACCCCTTTATTAAACTCAAATCTATACAATCCATTTTGAAAGCATTCGCTCTTGTAACATCCTTGTTCCATGTATTAATTACAGGTCTTAAATTAATTATTGTTGTATTTTATTGGCTTGGCCACAACGCCTCATTGGAGTGCCACGACATGACACTTAGTTTAATGAAAAAGTGCATCCATGATTAGCCACGACGTGGCAGCTGTTTTGGGCCTATGCCCTATTTAAGGGGCACTAACTCCTAAGGTTGCCTCATTGGAAACCTCCACCCCCTTGAGACAGAATCCCATCCAAAACCATATCCTCTTTGTGTGTTTGAGTGCTTAAAACCCATCTTTGTGAAGGTTGAAGGAAGAAGGAGCTTTTGGGTGTTGCTTGAAAGAGTAGTTCCAACTTAGATCCATCATCTACACCTCATCTCTATATCATTGAAGGTATAAAGTTTTTACCTTTACCATTGATTCTCTAGATCTAGTTCTAGGTCAATTCCATGAGTTTTTATCATAAATAATCTTATTCATGGAGTTGGAGTGAACTCCGGAACCTTTTATTGCAATGGTTAACTTCTAGACCTTGGGGTTGGTTGGAAAGTTGGCTTGCATGGCCTTTTGAGTGAACCCATGGCTTGGTGCTGTCATTAGCATCTTACAGGTTGAGATCTTTTCTTAATAAGAGGTCTTACTGGATAAAATTAGAAACTTTATCCATCAAGACCATGAGGGGGTCCAATTTTGGAAGTTTGAGCTGATGGGGTTGTGGCATAACAACTCAATCCATTAAGCCATTAATGACCAATGTCACGACATGGCCACTTATTGCTATGAAATGGCGACTAGTGTTTCTGCAACCATCTTGCTGGACAATTTCCACGATGTGGGAGTTGACCAATTGCTGACTGTTTTTGTCTTGGAGTGGCCACGATGTAGCCATAAGTGGGCACGGCGTGGGGGCCTATTAAATTGACCTTGACTGTTGACTTTTGACCATGGTTGACTTTTTGGGTAAAACCAGAGTTCTAAGGTGTCTCGTTGCTCTTGTCTACCATGTGTGTGAGAGCTGTCGTATTTCTAGCTATTATTCGTAAGGTGAGTCTTCTCACTACTTTACGTTATGTGGTATTTATGTCTGTGACCAACTGGGTCTTTATTGCTGATTGTTGTTTTATCTTAATTGAATTGTTGATACTTTGGGATTGTTGATAGACCCTTGGGTTGCTGATAACCCCTGAAATTTGTTGTTAATCCACAAGGTATGCTTAGCCCACTGGGATTGCTGATAACCCCAGGGTTGCTGACAACCCATAGTTGTTTATTATGATATGATTTTTGGATATTTTAGGAATGTAACTCCCCGATTCCCGAGTATCCATTTATAGTTATAAATTCTCATGGTTTCAAGGTCTACTCACGAGTTGGTGGCCTGACTCGCCGAGTAGCAGCGGGCTGGTCCGCGAGTTTAAGTGACCTACTCGGCGAGTCCATAAAGGGACTCGACGAGTAGGAGCTGGCAGATGAAACCCTAAATCCCGGGGTTTTGCACCCTATTTAAAGAAGCATAAGCCTCCTTTGGCCTCTTTGCAGTCCTTGAGAGCTCAGAAAACCCTAATTCGTGTGGTGCTTCATTCTTGTGTGTCTAAAGCTTTGGAGAGGAGATCTTTTGAGACGAAGAGCTTGGAGGACAAAAGGCTAGGGCCAAGGAAGTGTGGGAAATCAGAAATCTACCTCAGATAGCATCATTTGGAGGTATCAAGTCGTCACCTTTACTTCATTTTCCTTCTAGACCTCTTTTGGTTGAGATTTAGGGTTTTTATGGTTTGATTGAGATCTAGAGTCATAAAGCTCCGAATTTGGTCATGTATGAAGCCTCTTTGAGTATGAAACCCCCATTGTGAGCTTGGATTTGACATTAAGAGCCTTTGTAGCTATGCATGCACGTAAAGTTTGCAACTTTACGTGAAAAGCATGCCTTAGAAGCTTGGATCTGTAATTTGGAGCCACTGCATGGCTTAAAAGAGTCTGTATGGCTTAAGGACTGAAGGAACTCGGCGAGTCTCATGAAGATGAGCCTGGACCCGACGAGTTGGATGAACAACTCGACGAGTCTGATGAAGATTGTCGTGGACTCGACGAGTTGTATGAACAACTCGGCGAGTCGGTTGAGGTTTCCCTAATTTATGAATGCGTGTGTAACCGTCGAGTTGCAAGAAGGAAACTCGACGAGTGGCCTTAGGGTTTCGATCGTAAACCGAAGGAACTCGACGAGTCACTCCGGTGACTCGGCGAGTGGGCAAGTACTTCAAGGAACTCGGCGAGTAGCCGAGGGTACTCGGCGAGTTAGGGTCAACATGGACTGTTGACCTTGACTGATGACTTTGACTTTGACCAGGGTGTGATTAGTTGGCTTATGGGTACCTTGAAAGGTTGGGAACTTATGGGTGTTTATGATTGGATCATTGATGGTTATAGGTGTTGGAGTTTAGGGCAGTGTTTCGGGAGCGTGTTTTCGTGGTTCAGTCCGGCATTGCAAGGTGAGTTATCCTCACTATATCAACAGGGTCTACGACACCAAGGCCGGCCCTTTATCGGATTCGTATCCGGGTATTTGCATGATATGCTTATTGATTTGTTAGATTTGCGTCCTGGTAGTTAGGACGGT